GGGATCCTACTGCCTCAGCCTGCCAGAGTACTAGGATACAGGCGTGAGCCACCAAACCCGGCCTGAACCAGTCTCCTTTTCTTCTTAACCTTCAGCACAGTTCCTTGTATACTATAAAGTGTTTTTGACAGAGTAGGATTAGGAGAGGCAGGAAGTTGGGAAATGATTGGATACAAGGGATTTCTATTCTCTGTACAGCAATAAAATCTCTTTATGATTTCAGGAAGCCAAAGAGGAACCAAAGACAATAGAAGAACATAAAAAAGAATGTGCTTCAGGAGGTAAGCAATGTTTTCTTTCAACCCCCATGGGGACTTTTGTCCCCTGCTGATATTTTTGCGAGTGGAATTTTTGAGTGACAACCTGCCATTGACAAATTCTGCGTCTCTGGATAAGATTAGCCAATAGGACCAATTCTTGATTTCATTTGGATCATTTTCTAAAAGTCACATTTCCCAGAAAACTTGTAATAACTAGTGTCTGTTGTGAACTAAGAACCAAGCCAATGTTGGTGGTAAATTCTAAGTTCTACTTCGAGTTCGTTTTCAGTATCCCATCTAAAGTAAATTGACCAGCATTACAGAAAGTGCCAATGTGCTTCCCTCCTCAGCCTACCTCCGTTAAGAGGGAATAGTTGATAGAGTTCAGACTTTGGATTCTTCTAGACTCTAGACTGGGTCTATCTCTGACTACCTACGTGATCCTGGAAAGTTACTTAACCTTAAGTCTCAGTTTTCTTATGTGCAAAATGGAAAGTTTAAAAAAGTACACTTTATTGGGAATGTACTATATGCTAAATACTAGGCTAAATTCTTTATGTGCATAGTTTTGTTTAGTCCTCCAAATACTACATGAGGTAAGTAAATTGTGATTCAGTTGTTTAGCCTATAAAATGTGGACAATAACAGTATCTACCTCGGAAGGTTTACAGGGAGGATCGAATAAATTATTATGTATGAGGCACTTAGAAAAGTGCCTGGCACAGAAGTTCTTATAAAAGTTTGCTACTATATAAAAATAGTATTGGCCTTATTTTGTAAATGGCTTAATGAGGTTGTGGCTTATTCAGGACCAGATAGTTGTAAGAGTCAAACAAAGCTCAGATTTATTTATTTATAATTTTTACTTCAAAATATTGGGGGGTACAAGTGTTCTTATTACGTGGATGAATTGTGTAATGCTGAAGTCAAGGCTAAAGCTCAGATGTAAACCAAGTTTGTTCAACTTTAAATCCAAAGTTATTTATATAATAACTAATATGTTATTCTTTATAAAGTTCTCAAAGAAAATTATGGTATGTGTAAAGAGCTTTGTTCTGGGACTGGCATATAGTAAGCCTGTGCTTGTTGCCATGTTTACTGTTGCTATTATTGTTACCAATGTTACTACTACTACTACTACTATTATTGACAACTGCTATTCCTCCCGCTGCTGCTATTAAAGCCTTGCAAAGAAGGGCCAGGACACCAGAGGAAGGTATGCATCTCGCCATTGGATCAAGTATAATAAACATGCAAATGCAAAGAGAACAAATCGGTCTGTTCCTTGATTCTGAGACATCTTTAGGTTTCAAGGACCATTCACATGCTGAAGTGTGAACCAATGATTTTAATGTCATTGTGATCCCAATAGCTTATTATAACATTATCTTTTAATTTAAACAAGCACATTATTAGCTGTCATTTCAGATATATTTAAATGAAATGCCTTTGTTTAGTGAAACAATATTTGACAAAATATTGTTATTGCTTTTAAATGTTAAGCCTTCTTAAATAAATAATATTTTACTGTCTTTTAATAGACACTGCTGTTTCTCCTCTTCCTGTAACCACTGTGAAATCAGTTAACTTTAGACAAAGTGACAAGTAAGTGCCTCTTCACATAGCATGTTAACATGTTTTATTTTTCTGTTGGATTATGTTTCAATAAGTTCTTTGTCTTATCTTACAGCACTTCTGCTAATGAGAAGGAGGTGGAGGTGAGTTTAAAGCACCTGTTTTTTTCTTTTAAAAAGAAAAAAATGTTTCAGACTCACCTGCTGTAGTTGCTCTGTGCTTTTGCAGAAGCTCTCATGCATTTGGCGTCTGTTCAGCTGGGCGACTAAGTGCAATGAAGCCTACGCATGTCAGTTTTATGTCGCTGGGAGGAGAAAGAAATGCCTCTGTATAATCTGGAATTAAGCTGAAATATTTGACCACATCTAATTTTCTCTCCTCGCCTTCACATTATTTTGACAACAGGCAGAATTTCTCAGATTATCTTTGGGATTTAAGTGTGACTGGTTTACGTTGGAGAAAAGAGTGAAACTTGAAGAGAGGTCCCGTGACTTGGCAGAAGACAATTTGAAGAAAGAAATCACTAACTGTTTAAAGCTATTAGAGGTGAGAATCAGAACATTTAGGGGTCTAAGCATTTGGTTATATTTTTAATAATGTTTTCTTAATTACATATGAGTTTATATGTATGATCCACACCAATACCAGGTACCAAGCCCTACCTGACTCATGTGAACTAACAGAAAGAATTCAGGATCAGGCTGAAATACAAGTTTCACTAATAGGAGAATATCAGCAATAAAATAAAAAATGTCCTTTAAAATAGGTTGTATGAGTCATCTGCCTTCTGTCTGGATTTTCAAATAGATTTCAGGCAGAAAAGCAGTCATTCAGAAAACCGAGTAATACGAGATAATATCAATTTTAAGCCTCGCAGAAGAAACTCAGAAATCTATTTCCAGGCTAGGTGCGGTGGCTCACACTTGTAATCCTAACACTCTGGGAGGCCGAGGGGGGAGGATTACTTAAGGTCAGGAGTTCGAGACCAGCCTAAGAAAGAGTGAGACCCTGTATCTACTAAAAATAGAAAAAATTAGTCGGGCATGGTGGCACATGCCTATAGTCCCAGCTACTCAGGAGGCTGAGGCAGGAGGATCGCTTGAGCCCAGGAGTTTGAGGTTGCTGTGAGCTAAGCTGACACCACGGCACTCTAGCCCAGGCAATTGAGAGAGACTCTGTCTCAAAAAAAAAAAAAAAATAGAAATCTATTTCCATTTATGATTAACTGAGGAAAGGGAATGGTGACTGATTCAGTCTTGTCAGGTGACAGGCAAGCCTGCTGTAAGGTACTGAGAGAAGAATGAGGGTGCATAGAAGTGTGACTACTACTGTTAATCCTTTCATATTGTGAAGTTATCACAAATTTAGAGGTGGATTGGAAAATTAAGGGATTTAATTTTGGATGAAGAAAATTAAAATCGAGAAACTATATTATGTTATTTTTCATTGTGATAAAAATATATAACAAAATTTGCTACCTTAACCATTTTTAAGTGCACAGTTCAGTAGTGTAAGTTTATTTACACTGTTGCAAAACAGAACTCCAGAACTTTTCATCTTTCGAAACTAAACACTCTACACCTGTTAACTATCCCCCTTTCAACTTACCCCATCCCTGATAAGCACCATTCTACTGTTTTTATGAATTCAACTGCTTTAGAGACTTCACGTAAGTGGATTCATACAGTATTTGTCTTTTGTAACTGGCTTATTTCACTTAGCATGATGTCTGCAAGGTTTATCCACATTACAGAACTTGACAGATTCCCTTTTTAAGGCTGAATACTACTTTGTTATATGTCTGTACCACATTTTGCTTATCTGCTCATTCATCGAAGGACATTCGGGTTGCTTCCACTTATTGGCTATTGTGAATGTGCTGTTAGAAACACGGGTGTACAAATATCACTTGGAGCCCTTGCTCTCAATTCTTATGGGTTTATATGTACCCAGAAGTAGAATTGCTAGATCATATGGTAATTCTGTTTTTAATTTTTTGACGAACCACCATACTGTTCTCCATAGCAGCTGTACCATTTTACATTGCCACCAAAAGTGCACAAAGGTTCCAATTTCTCCAAATTCTCACCAATATTTGTCAATTTTTGTTCATTTGGGTTTATAGTAGCCATCCTAATGAGCATGAGATGGTATCTAATTGTGGTTTTAGTTTGCATTTCTCTGATGATTGGTGATGTTGTACATCTTTTCATACGTTTGTTGGCCATTTTTATATCTTCTTTGGAAAAGGTCTATTCAAGTCCTTTGTCTATTTTTTAATTGAATTATTTGGAATGTTTTGTTCAATTGTAGAAGTTCTTTATGTATTTTGTTCTATAATGTTAATGTACTTTATATATTAACCCCTTATCAGTTATATGATTTGTAAACATTTACTCCCATTTTGTAGG